AAGGTAGAGGATATTTTTTCATTGTGGGTGTTCATACTTACTCTTTGTATAACATCACTAAATACATTCTTCCTGTCATGACATTAGGGGATTACCATGTCAAGCTGATGCCATTGTAATTAGGTACCGATTTTCTTTGGCCGACTAGTGGCAGCTGGGGATGCCACCGGAAGTGGCGCTGCGACCTGCTGCTGCCAGAGGCTCTCTCTGAGAGTGCAGCCAGTCCCTGCTGCACAAATGAACAGAACTTCCATAGCAACAGTTGCCAAGGTACTATAGGCCAGAACCGTTTTGGATGCGACCAATCAAAAAGTATAATTCATGCGAGCTCTCTATACGGTGGTATACGGTAATTCATCCCATGATCCTATTCTCCAAAATGCTAGATATGCTATGATTCTGTACTCAGAAACATACTGAATACAGTGCCATTGCATGTTGAGAATATAAAAGCAGCTCTACATAGAGACTATAGCGTTGACAGTCAGATCGAAGGACGGGTGTTTACAATACACCTCACTGATAAATTGTCCCGTAAACAACGGACATCATGAATAACGTTACTGGTGATTTTCAGACGCAGCTAACTTCCATAATGCAAATGCTGGCGAAAACGGCTGTTGTGGAAATAGGCAAACTTTTCGAGGAGAATTCTTTGTTGCTGCGATTAGAGATTTCACGCTGTACAAACGAAAATGAATCTCTGAAAAAGAAATGTTATTTTCTGGAGAATGAACTTCAGTCTGCACGGAAAAGCGCTGGAAAGATGAACGGAACACAAGCTCCATTCAACCATCCGGGACTTACAGGTGATTTACTTATGCACGATAAATGAATCTGTGTTTTGATTTATGCTGTAGGTTTAAAGCCTGTAGTGGGCGGTCCTTATATCATAATTGTGCCCTTGAATAAGACTTTAACCTTACTCCAGGGGGACTATTTCTGTAGTAAATAGTAGTTCACCTTCCATTCACCAACATAAATTAATTCAGTCTTTCTTTAGGCTACATCAGTAGGTGGTGACAAGTGACTGGCTTTGTCTGTTACGATGACAATGAGCGAGTCGAGGAATCATTCACTCATTCACTGGAAAACACACCGAGTCGTTCATTACTAAACAGTCTTATTTAGGCTATTAAAATATATACATACATATCTATTAAAAACTGAACAAACGTTTTTTTTTTGTTCTTCTTCCTGTCCTTGTTGTGTCAGCAGATCACCAAGTTTACAAACGAGTTCATTCAGTTCGTTCATCAACAAGATGTTTTGTTCATTCACCTCGTTCACAAACAAAATACCTCTGTTCATTACTAAACCCATTTACGTCAGCTTCTTGGAAGACGCAACTATTACAGGTTGTTTTTGTGTGTGTTTTTTCATGTCCTGAGCTGAGACCCAGCTATGGAGTTTTTTTGTCTGTGTAGAGGACATTATATTTTAGTGAATTTCTCTAATACCTCACATGTCACAGTTTTAATGTCCTACAGGATGTCCTGTACAGAGCACATTCAGGGCTTTTCAGAGATACCAAATGTTTGGAAATATCACCATGACCATTCTCTCTCCTTGGTCTTTAAATATGACTGACATTAATTTAGTGATAAAATTGTACATCTGTTTGGAAATATGATAATATTTTGTAATTATCATTTAAAATCTGATTTATTTTCAAATGGTTTGTCATAAACCAACATCTCAGGAAAATGTTATGGGGTTTCAAATCAAAATATGACTTCCTCTTATGAAACAGGACATCATTTCATACATGTCCACTGTAGAGGACACCAGGACTAAAAGCATGTTTATTACACATTTTGGGAAACAAAACAATTGAATAGGAAAATAAATTATATATCAACGTTCTTATGAAATATTAGATATTATTATGAAAAATCTGGCCAATTATTACTCACATTATTACGCTTCTTTTTTTCAATATGCTGTCCCAACAGCACAATACTATGCAAATTAGATACAGTGTATAGATAACATTGAGTTTAATGGGAAAACCAGTTTATGGATATTTTACAGACATATTGCATAAAGCAAAACGGTATATCAAATAATTTTGTTAGGCTATATCTTTTAGAACATAGTTGAGAATCATCCTTGTACAAAGTTTGTTATAAAAAAACCTGAAACCTAAAAATTGATTGGTTATTTTTTTTAAATCCCATTGTTTTTGCCTTTTTATGTTTATTCATGTCATTTTACTTTTTAGAAAAACTGAGTACCGGTGTTCTCTACAGAAGACATAGCATAACATGAATAAAATATCATTTTTCAAAAATGTTATTTTTTTCCCCCTTATGCTCTAAGTCTAAACAATGTAATGACATGAACAATTCTAAATTCACAAAGGTTTTTTTCTGGTTCTCAGGAGGATAATAACCCTGCACAAGTTACCCTAAAAACCTAACAACTGTAACCCTTTTGTAGCGTCCAATCTCAACTATGGCCCTCGAGGTCCACTTTTCTGCAGAGTTTAGCACCAACCCTGATCAAACACACCTGAACAAGCTAATCAAAGTCTGCAGGATTACTAGAAAGTTACAGGCAGAAGTGTTGATAGTGATGTATATACAAGGTCAACAAAATTTATTTTATTACACATTGTATGTCTTTCTTGTGTTTTTGCATTATGACGTAACCAAAAACAAGGCATGTCTTACAGAAGCCGGACGTCGTCCTGCAATTGACAATGTCTTTGGTAAGGAATGGTGCATGAACCTCTGGAGACACGAGGAGTCACATGTTGGTGAGCAGGAGGACACACATCTGGACTCTCCAGTCATCGCAGAAGAGGTTGGTCTCACATCCTGCTGTTGATATACATCAATCAGTGTCAGAATACAGTTAACTAGTTCTCTCTTTTACTTTCTGTCCTTCAGCCAGTAGATCTGCTGGATGAAGAACCAGATATGATCATGATCAAGGAGGAGACATTTGAAGATTGCTCTGGGAAGAATAACCCTGAGGAAGATGAAAGTTGCAGTTTGAGAGGTTTGTGATGTGAGAACTTGAGAACAGTTGCTGTTAACTCTTTGTTATATTCAGATGTTCATGTGTCATTTATTGAATTACAGGACCTGCAGTGACCAGTGATGAGAGATGTGTCGCCCAGAGCTCTGATGATTTTATCACATACATGGTACCTTCAGATGACCAAGTCCAATCGAACGTGCACCAGACACCAGCTGAAGAACAAGCTCTTGATGGAACGATCTCTACACATGGAGACAGTACAACAGAGCAGCAAACTTTCCATAGTACACACAACCACACAAGCACTCCAGAAGAGAAAAGGTTTGAGTGTGTATTCTGTCGAAGAATCTTCAACAAACTAACCTACCTGAAAGCACACATGCGAACGCACTCCGGAGAAAAACCTTTCGTCTGTACAGTTTGTGGTAAAAGATTTGCTCAAAAAACGTACCTCAGAATACACCAGCGCACTCATTCTGGCGAGAGGCCGTACTCGTGCATGGAGTGTGGAAAGAGCTTTGCTCAAAAGAGCTCTCTAAATGTACACCTCCGAAGCCACACTGGAGAAAAGCCATATAGCTGCTCAGAGTGCGGTAAAAGCTACGCGTACAAACAGGGTTTCAATACACACCAGTGCTTCAGTTAGACTAGTACATACTGAAGTGAACCATTACTGAATTTTATCTGTATCAAAGTTGCTGTTACAGCAGAGTGTGCATTACTGTGCAATATGAACCCTTAAAAATTGCAAGTATGTCCATGTTTGTTCACAGAAATGTAAGTCCTGTAAATGAAACGTGTTATACAGAGTCATCTGTGCATTGAGTTCACCTTCATTTAGGACCATCTCGATGTGTATATTCATTTGAACAGAGGGATAAACAAACACGCTTTAATAAACTTGACATAAAGTGAGTAAAATCATGCAAACCACTTTTTATTCAGCATGGCTGAAAATACACATAGTAATTGCTGTTTGCTTACACATGCAATCTAGTTGACATCTGAACTCAAACCTCTATAGAAGCATTGTACAAACTACATACTACTGAAATTACAGCTTCCGTAAAGATCAAGTAGTGTTACTTGTCGCTTTACACTAATGGCCCAAAACTGATATAACATTATGATAATGTTTTAAAAAACAGACCGTAAATCTTTAGCGTAAAACCTTAATTAGTGATGTGTTCACCTCTGGTGGTGTTTTATATCTAGACTATATATATTCAAAAGTTCTATCCAGATATATCCAAGACTACATCCATTCAAAAGTTTGGAATATTTTGTTTTGCATTTATTTGATCAAAAAAACAGCAATATTCTGAAATATTATTACAATTTAAAATAACTCTTTTCTATTTTATTCCTGTGATGCAAAGCTAAATTTTCAGCATCATTACTTCAGTCTTCAGTGTCACATGATTCTTCAGAAATCAATCTAATATGCTGATTTACTGCTCAAGAAACGTTTGTTATTACTGCCAGTGTTGAAAAGTTTTTACTGCGTTACATTTTTATAAAAACATGATTTTCTTTTAGTATTCTTCAAAGAATAAAAAGTTCAGCATATTAGAATGATTTCAGAAGGATCATGTGACACTGAAGACTGAAAATTCATCTTTGCCATCACAGAAATAAATTACATTTTTTAATATATGGAAATAGAAAACAGATATTGTTAATTGTAATAATATTTCACAATATTACTGTAGTTTTCATCAAATTTATGCAGCCTTGGTGAGCAGAAGAGACTTGTTTCAAAACATTTAAAAGTTTAGCCCAGGGGTCCGTTCTTCATACGTCGCTAACTCATTTAGCTGGATTTGATTGTTGACGATTTCGCCTGATCTTGGATTGTTTGGTTCTTTGAAGCTCATCCCGGAGTTGCTGTCATAGCAACAGC